AGATAGATAGATAGATAGATAGATAGATAGATAGATAGATAGATAGATAGATAGATAGATAGATAGATAGATAGATAGATAGATAGATAGATAGATAGATAGATAGATAGATAGATAGATAGATAGATAGATAGATAGATAGATAGATAGATAGATAGATAGATAGATAGATAGATAGATAGATAGATAGATAGATAGATAGATAGATAGATAGATAGATAGATAGATAGATAGATAGATAGATAGATAGATAGATAGATAGGAAGGAAGGAAGGAAGGACGGACGGACGGACGGACGGACGGGCGGACGGACGGACGGACGGACTCGACACGAAGTGCCATGGTATATGTTGACTGAATATTTCGTATTTACAACTTGTTTCGTTCATTTCCAACGGCTGGTGAGAAGTTCACCATGACTTAGCGAATCCAAGCATTCGGACATGTGCAAACCCTCGCTGGCTCATAACATTTCCCTTGATGTATAGTAACACTTACCTGTTGTGAGACCAGATTGACTTCCTTAATTATTTAGCATGCGGCTGTATAATGTCCTGTGCTTGGTTCCGACACTTGGCATTCTCGAACCCATCATGGTAACGTGCTTCCGCGCCATATATCAGCCTTCTGTCGACCTCGGACGGTGGCAGCCTACTGTAACTTTTCTTATCAGTTACTGTCATTTACTCGTGCCAGTCGTTATCTAACCTTAACCAGATTAATTTATCTAAAACGTTCGCTGCTTGTCGACGACGCCGGCCAAGTCATTTGTGGTGGTCCGTCAGGTTTCCTGTTTTTTTTTCTTTTGTTTCTAAGTCGGGTGTTCTCGTTCTCGCTGAACATAACTGGCACGCCTTGCCGGCGACTTCAAGGTCCCATATGCGCACTGGTGTAATGACAGTTCCGTGCAGCACAAGAGAAGTTTAGAGCAGCATGTAACCCAGGTACCGCCTTGTTTTGCGCATCCTGATATTGCTTATACCACTGTTTTGACAAGATGTCAGCGCAAGTGAAGTGGGAACGCAAGGAAACATTATTTTTAAACGCAGAAAGAAATGAGAGAGTGCAAAAGAAGAAGCGATGACTCGATGCCACTGACAACTGAAGCATGGTTACAACGTAAATCTCAACATACACTCGTCGAACCGTAAATGACTTTTTGAAAAGGGAAAAGGGAGAAATAAGCGCAGTTCTGTCACTGCCTTTCTCTCAATGGAGGTTACCTCCACAGTTCTGCGCACGGAATCGGGGTAAGGAGGGATTAAAAAGGATGGGGAGGAATTAAAGGTATAGAGATAGAGAGAGCAGCAGGAGGAGAGAGAGGCGCAGGGGCAGCCACATGCGGAAGTAAGGAGAAGATAGGAAAGATGGACACGGTCGGAGAAGTCCGAGGACGGGGCACCACTAAGCGAGAGCTCTTGTCGGCGCCAGGAGATGGCGGAGGGCGAGCCAGTCGGCCAGAGCTGCGCTGTCGTCGGTGATAGCGGGGGCACAACGGGTCGGCGCGAAATCCAGAGAGCGAGTTCCACCAACGTTAGCAGTGGTGGTATGCAGTGTTGACTGCCTGTGATCATATAGATATAACATAAAGAAAGCAGGGCGTGCCCATGCGGCTGAGTAATCATTCATGGCAGACTTTGCCTCCAACTTTTACATAGTTAGGGACCGCTACAACCCCCCCCCCCCCCACCCAAACCTCTCGTTCTGCGCACGTCTGTTACAATCACGTAACGGAGTAGTTGCCGGCGGCCCACACGCGTACCAATCTCTCCTGAAGACCATTTATTTTTTGTTAGGACTGACGTTAGTAAATGACATCGTGGAAGGTTTTCTTGAATGGAGACATTGAACCCGCTGGAGCGGGTTTTTTTTTTTTTTTGCATTTGCGACAGGGATGTCCCATCTCCCTTCACAATGCTCTCGCGTGCGTCTATCACGGCCACCACGGGCGTCAGGCAGCAGGTCTGTAAAGGCAAAACTATTTCTGTCCTTTATCATCGCGTTTTTCCTGCAGTCATTGCTCTGTTCGACCTTCCGGGAGTGTCACTAGAAAGGAGCACATATGGCGGAGAAAAAGATAACCTAAAGCAAAGCATCGCAGTAACTCGACGCCTCCGGCTGATTGGACCATAAAGGTCGGCGCTGGGCAGGGCGTGGCTCGGCGACAAACGGAGACGGCATTGAGTAGGCTTCCACGGGGAAAAAAAAAGCCTCAAGGGGTGTTTGTATCGCGGAATGACCGTACGCCTACGTCGCACCGTAGCGAACCTGCGGCCTTACTCGCGGCAAAACTGCCTTGCATTACTTCGCACCAGTTAAATTGCGGATGAGGTCAACTGGTTTCATACTGCCCGCACGTCCATGAAATCAAACAATAATCAAACTTGGAAAACGCAGGGCACGGGAGGCCGCGGGGCTGTTCTTCTTTTTGTTAACCTATTATAACTATCGCGCATGTTTTACTGTTCGGGGCGCATGGTATATTTCTCAACTATTCATTTCTTTTTTTTCTTATTTCTAGTGTTCTTCTCTAAATTATATATGTTTAGAAAAGGTGATTAAGAATTTATAGAGAGAGATAAAGATGCAAGAAAAGGCAGGGAGGTTAACCAGACGCACGTCCGGTTTGCTACCCTGCACTGGGGAAGGGGTGAAGGGAGTAAAGAGGTTGGAGAGAAAGAAGAAAGGTATACACAATCACGAGCACACTCGGGGGAGCACATGCAGTCTACGGGCAGTCGCTCAAGTTTGTCTTCAAGTAATGTAGGAGCACTTTAGTCGCTTCCTGCGCTATTGAGGCAGACGCCCAAGTTCCCAGAATATTCTGCAGAGAGAATGGTCTTGAGTCCAGTTGGTTCAAAACCATCCGGATCTGGCATAGCTGCGCGTTGTAGCAAGCGCTGGACGTGTTCAATGGTTTCTTCAGCTCCACAGGAGTTGCATGTAGAGGTGTATTCCATACCGATGTGAAAGGAGTTCGCCTTTGTGAATCCAACACCCAACCCACCCAACCAAAGGCAACATAACAGAGGACTTGATACTCTGTTAGAGTAAATTTGGAGTACTTGGTACTGTTACTATAAGAGAGCATGAAAACATTCTCTGGGCTCCAAACCTAATGAGGCCGTGTTGACAAATATTCCGCCGTCAACGAGTTCACGACGACGCATGTTGTCAGGACGAGGACACAAGGCACTGCTAATGGACCGATGATCCTTCACGAACTGTAACTGAAGCTTATCCCAATTGTATAGTAGCCAGCCTAGCCACAGCCCTCCCTTGATTTCTTTCGACATATCTTACCTCTTAAGTAGCACTCCTCATTGTGCCCTCAAGTAAAGGTGACGTCGGAAAGGTGTTACATGGTAATAATTGTTAACATTCTCTCTCTGGAAGATCACAAAGACTTCTTAAGCGTACCGATGACGTTTATAATAATCTTGCACTGGAAAAGGCGGCTCGTTCTTCAAAGCACAAGGGAACAACCAGAAGATTCCATATCCGAGTAAAATTATGATTTGTGCACCTACATTAATCTTGGAGGCTCATTCGCGTGAATACACTGAGTCTGCCCAGTAGATTGACATAAAGTACCGGTTAGCATGTGTACAGCGAACTACCTAGGGAACATGCCAGTTGGAATATATCTTTTTGTTCCTAAAGATTGTCTCTGTCACAATATGCGTACAGTCATTCACATCTAAACTGTCCTGGTTTTATCGCATGACACACTCTTGAAGAATATCAGTTGTTTTTTTTCCACGGCGCTGATAGAGTCCAAACTCTAATTGCATAATAGCATATATGTTTTTCATATGGCCTAAGTTTTTTTGTCATTCTAGGTAGCAAGGTACCATAGTCAGCGATGATTGGTACTGTAGCGATTATGCAAATAGCATAACTCTTCAAGAACGTATACCTTGGAGGTTGTTCATCGTCCTCAGGGTAACATGGTAAAGCGTCTACGAAGCTTCCGAAATATCTTTACTCGCCTAGAAGTATGACTGAATCGCGTAATTGGAATGTAGTTACACCTTTCACTTTGTAATTACTAAGTTCAATTGTAATTAAGGATTCGCGATGGAGTGGTGGTCCGTAGACTGGGAAGTGTCAGTCCCATTCAGTTTGATGCTGCTGTGAACGAGCAGTAACTTGAGGTCGCTATCGTTCTCGGGATCGAGGCAGGACTGACGTCCCGCCGAAAGCTCACTTTTCTCAAAAGGCCTCCATGGTGTAATTCTGTGGCCGTCATAATATGCAGAGTTTCACGTGCCGAAACCACGATGTGACTATGAGGCGCGCGGTATATACGAAGGGCTCCAGAAATTTCGACAATGTGGTGTTCTTTAATGTGCACAGGCATGGCTCAGGGCACATTTCCTCCATCTAAATGCGGCAGCCTAAGTCGGGGTCGCACTCACGGCTTTGGGAAGCAATCCTGTGGCCCAACTCGGGAGTCTGTTCCCCTTTTCCTGACCTTACTTTGGAATTTTCGTCAATGTTAAATTTGGACTATATATTGGGAATTCTGTTCTCACTTTTTCATGAGTATGGCCTACAGCCACGTCCATGGCGTGGGCAGGGGGTTGCAGTGCCCTCAAGCCACACTTCCCAGCAATCTCATTCCACCCAACCTACACTAGCATTCCCCTCCTCTGTCCCCCATTGTGATGCAACATGGCTTTCCACCTCCCCCCCCCCTTATGACAAAATCAATCCGATGCCTGTGGCAATGTCCAACACGTCGACATACTCTAGTATCACTGGGGTAGGCCGGGAGGGTGGCACTCTGGGCTCGTGCACCCCGCCGCGAATTTGTTTTCGCCATGCACACAGTGAAGAAGGACCATTTGCCTGCTCGGCCCCCACTTTTGATTAAGGAGGTGCCCCCCACCCCCTTCCACACCGATAAACAATTTCTGCGTAAAACGCTGCCTGGTCAATAAAGTCGTCACCGACCAACGAACCCTGCGTGGTGTGCGAAGCAAGGCAGACACAAATTGGTGTGCAGAATCCGACGAAACTCTGGTTGTATTTGCGTGAAAAAATAAAGAAGAATACAAGAGAAAATTTTACAACCAGAGCGTAGACGTGCACGTTGGCATGAGAACATTTTTTACATTTGAAAGGCGCGCGTTGTGAGTCATGGCCGCTCTCCCGGACGGTTTGCGACACCTCAAGACTTGGGAGAATTTCTGTCTTGCTGGTGGATGCCGGTTCTGATGGAACTGCCGAAATCTTCAAGACTTTCGGCAGCCCGGCGACTGAATTCCACGGCATTAGGTCTGAAAGAACAATATAAGAGATAATCTGTTAGTCTTGTCAAATGGTCTTGCGACATAAAGTACCTACTACAGACTTGTTCGAGTGCTTCAAGTGGTGCAGGTTAATTGGCCCACATCTCTTGATTTCCTTATGCTAGTTGGCCTGAGTCATGTGGGGACAATAGTTATTCCTTAATATGCATGCTTCGAAAAACATATTGTCTTAAATGATGTTGGAACAACCAGATTGGTCGTTGCGATTTGCAGCGTCTTATGTCTTAAGTGTGCCAGTGAAGTCATGTGTCATTCAGTAGGTCTCTCGCATCTCAAATGTTCACAAAGCACTCTGACTGTTCTCTAGTGCGCAACCTAAAGAGAGAGTGCTGTAGGCAGCTTAAAGACTATATTAGTTCCTGAAAAGTCATGAGATTGTCGTTTGCCTGGAAATAGCAGCGTTGTTGCTGTGCCTGAGGCTGTATCAAATATTCGTTTGCTTCTGGGCGTGCACAATACATCTTTCAAACGGTCGTTGACAGTAATATGTTCACATGAGAAATAATTGCGGTAGTTAAGGGCAAGTTCAAGTGTGTAGCCGCCACGGAATCGGTGCGAGCTTTCCACATTGCGATAACCAGATGCCAGCTTATTAGCTAAATAGAAAATGCAAGGCGTTCAAAATAGAGACAAGGTGAAGTGGGTGGTGTCAGCTTGTTCGATTGAAACCAAGAGAAGTTCTTTTTCCCATACTGTCATAATTCCTATTATGGTGCTAGGCTGCTTTTAGGACACCTTTAGTTGATTAGTCTGTGCGTGAGCCACCGTGTATTGATCAATTCAAAGATCAGTGAGATATGGTGCGTAAATTGGGTGCACACGGACATCGACAATAAGCTCAAGCAATTAGAACTCAACGTCTCGCATTCAATCAGTTACACACGCAAGTGGTGCACAATGTCCGGTCGGCGATGGAGCCAGGCACAATGGTTGACCTACCATTCCAGTAGTTTATTTCTTGCGAAGGTAGTAGGCGTGTCCGCCGAGGCCGTAGTTGAAACCACCAAGGCTGTAGCCGTAGCCGAGACCATAGCCGAGTCCGTGGTATCCGAGACCCAAGCTCAGGCCATGTCCATAGCCGAGGCCATAGCCCCCGACAGCCACTGCGGGAGCGGCAGCGACGGTGGCAACGGCTGGGGCAGCAACGACCGCTGGGGCGTGGTGGACGGCCACGGCAGGAGCGGCCACAGCCACGGGTGCGGCGTGAACGACGGGGCGGGCCACGGCGACCGGAGCAGCGTGAACAACGGTGCGGGCCACGGCGACCGGAGCAGCGTGAACAACGGGGCGGGCAACGGCCACTACGGGGCGGGCAACGGCGACGGGAGCGGCGACGGCGTGGACTACGGGCCGAGCGACCGCTACTGGAGCGGCAACCACGGCGGGCGCATGGTGGACGACGGCAGCAGGGGCGTGGTGGACAACGGCGGCCGGGGCGGCGGCGACGGCTCCTCCAAAGACGTGGCCAAGGCCAGTGTAGCCATAGCCAAGACCGTAGCCGAGACCGTGACCGTAGCCATAGCCGAGTCCGTAGCCGAGGCCATAGTGTCCAACGCCGTAGCCGACACCGTAGCCGAGGCCATGGCCGTAGCCGAGGCCGTAGCCACCGACGTATCCGCCGAAGCAGGAGGCCACGAGGCCGAGGAAGACTGCGAGCTTCTGCATAGACGTTGCAGAGGAAAGCGAATACGCGTAAGAAGGTAGAATTTTCCCAGGCTCTAAAATGCTTCTGACTTTGCTTTTTTCATAGGGCTTTCAAAAAGATTTGTACCACGAATCCTAGTGCTCAATCACAGTTCCCGGCTTCACGCCTGCAGACAAACTCCACCCTCCCCTTGGATACTTGTCTTTGCCATATTGTCGTTTAACTACGCCTTTTAACAGTCTATCATGTCAACTGATTACGCGATGACCATTCACTCTTTCTTAGGTAAGGCTAGTACTATGGTTTGCAACAGTCGTAAGTGTTCTTCCGCGATTCCCAAGACTCGGATGACCACGCACAGTCATGCAGCTGCGGTTATGTTAATGTGCCTCATCACTGATCTTGGCCACCGGATCAGATTGGGAAGCCCTTCGTCTTCCAGTAAAATATTCCTCTGTCGCTCTAAGTCCTCCCTGTTTTTTTTTTTGCCTGTTGCATATTCGGTCCTAATACTAATAGATGTTCGGAAATAATCTCCAGGTCCAGGAGTATGTCTCGCTCGACATCCCCTCCCGGTCGCGCATAGGTATCGCCGACTCATCACCCTCAGTACAGCATCACGAGCCGCGTGGTTATAATCCAACCGGAGACAGGTGACGGCCCGACGGACGATGACTTCTCGTGGAAGGAGTTGGCGATGGGACCACAACTTACCAGCATGATTGTTCTGGCTACGCTTGAGTCGAGAGACCAAATGTGCCTGTCTTCCACGGTAGCTTGGGCGGTCGCTTATATACACCCAGGTGCCCCGGGGGCTGCTTTCGCGGCCCGCGTTGATCGGAGGGCCTCACCCTTCGATCCTCCTCTTCCTCACTCATTGGCAGTAAAGAGGGCGAGAAGGTATGACGCTTTGCGTGCGAAGGGGTGACCGTATACCCACGCGTGCTCGCAAGCACCTTGAGTTTTGGCCCGGACAAAAGGCGTTACCCCCCGGGTATAACGTTTGACATTGTGCAAGGAGAGTAACTTTTTTTTTTCTGGCGTGTCCTATCTGAGAGTATGCGCGCGCAACAGATACTGCTGTGGCGGTTCGGAACGTAGACGTCACTCTTCCCCACCGTGCGGGCCGTCGAAAGCGCGTCGAGTGGGATAGCTCTGATACACTTTTCGCCTTCTGCGTCGGCGGCGCTCTTGAAAGTGGGTTATCGAAGCGTCGGATCGGACTTTCGACGGTCGTCCACGCCTGAGCATGTGGAGTAGGGGCGGGCTGTCTTTCTTTCAGGGTAGCCTTGTTTACTTTTGTTACTGACAAACCTTTCACCCTCCACCTCAAAAACAAAAGGACGACGCTGCTTTTGATGGCGCTGGGAGAAGGTTGTTCGCGCTTTGTGCGAACTCTTTCTAACGCATCATCCTCTCACATTTAGTGATCCGAGTCGCGTCCGAAACCGAATCGACACGGACACGGTACCCCGTTTCTTCATCGGGGTGTCAACACCGGCGGGAAATGTTTTTTGCGATCGGGTCAAATTTCAGCGCTTCGCGCGATTGCCATCGAGAGAAGGGAAAGCGTGCCTGGCATAGCAGACGACATCGCTCATCGTCGTAGCAGACGAAATGAGGATTCGCTCCTCCCTCACGCAGACGGTCTTCCTATCGATTTCTCAATACAATCGGCAACTTCCGCTAGGTCCGTGGGTGTCGAGACGGAATCTTTCAAACATCTCGCCGGAATCTCTCTTTCATTTCTCTTGCCCCCGTGCTTCTTCGTTCGAGTCGACTACCTGACATCGACGCTCTTGCAGCCATAGAAGGGGTTGCGATTGCGTTGCGCGAAATCTTCCATTCGAAGGCGTTGTGGTGGCGCCTCACGCAAGTCGGGTCTGCATATTTGTGCCAGCTGAAAGCAGCGCGTCGTGCGGTAGATATGGGAAAGACGATGCGATTATTGAAAGTGGATGTTTTTTTTTTTTTCAAAAACGATAGTCTATCCTGGGGACCTTCGATGGAAAAATTTTGGTCTGTCTGTGTGTACATTTGTCGGTTTGTCCGCCCTAACGATACCTCAAACTGTCCCAAACGGCCAACCCCATCCGCCGCGCCCACCAATGTTGCTCAAGGTTTAGCGTTCATAGTTGTGCGATTGTCAATTAAAAAAACAATTATTGCGCATATCTGAGGCACCTCAACAACGCTTCGATGTTTTTGTATGTCTGCCTTTATACTAGAAGAGGCACACACACAAGTAACGCTAAGGAATGTAGCAGGAATGTAGCTTTTATCGCACTGCGCTGACAGTGCTCAAAACGGTATGCTCAAAAAGGTGTTTCCAACGCTTTGCTACGACGTCACGGTGGTGGCACCTGCCCGTCGCTTTGCGGTCTACACCTTATCACCTCCGAGACTGGCGCGCATCTTTCTCCGCGCGCTGCACGCCTTCGTTTTCGAAGATAACTGCCAGATGGCGCTCGTGTCTAACGTGTTTTGATGCGCTCGTTCGCCTTCGCTACACGCTCGAGGCACTCTAACGCAGCGCCTGCAGAATACCGTTCACCGATTTTCTTGCGCAGAACATCAAATAAACGTTGTGTTCACTCTCTCCAGATGCAAGACTATCGTCTTTCGACGACATTTGTAGATTACATGCAGATACGGGGCAATTTTTTTTTCATTTTGCTCACCGCGGGGAAGAGATGACACATAAGCGCTAAAAATATGACATCGTCGACAGTGTTTTCTTCTTGTGCTTTAGTTTGTATTTGCGGCGTGTTTGGGGTGTTCGAGAACTAGGCGTTAACTCTCGCTCTCTAGAAAGCCTGTCCGATAACAGTGATGCAGATCACTTCGTTGTGATATATGGACTGCAGGTTCGCCCAGACAGAGTGGCCGTTTCACTGGAGGTGCTGCAGTACCTACATCTGTCTTGAAGCGTTCATAATGTGTCTTTTTGAGTAACTTGGTACCTAGGCACGTGATATATAACGCAGTAATATAAACTATTTTTTATTTATTTATTTATTTATTTATTTATTTATTTATTTATTTGTTTGTTTATTTATCTTAAGGTACGTTACAGGCCGCCAGGGGCACTGCGTAAGAGGGGTACTACAAGAAAATGTATACAGCGCGTACAGCGTACAAAGGGAACAGATATTAATACATAAAATGAGAACAGCAATAAATGTTGTTATTTCATATGTGAAAACAGAGTGAGCAATGCGTTATGCGAATACAACAAAGAAAGGCAAGAGAAAAACGCACTGTGTAATGAAGACTCGTTTAAACAAGAACATGTAATTTAAAGTATGAACAATATAATTACAAAACAAACACGGCATAACTTGGCTATTACTAAAAAAAATCTAACGTAGATGTACACACAGATGACAATGAAGGCAATAGATCATCATCATCATCATCATCATCAGCCTGACTACGTCCACTGCAGGACAAAGGCCTCTCCCATGTTCCGCCAGTTAACCCGGTCCTGTGCTTGCTGCTGCCAATTTATACCCGCAAACTTCCTAATCTCATCTGCCCACCTAACCTTCTGTCTCCCCCTAACCCGCTTCCCTTCTCTGGGAATCCAGTCAGTTACCCTTAATGACCAGCGGTTATCCTGTCTACGCGCTACGTGCCCGGCCCATGTCCATTTCCTCTTCTTTATTTCAACTATGATATCCTTAACCCCGTTTGTCCCCTAATCCACTCTGCTCTCTTCTTGTCTCTTAAGGTTACACCTACCATTTTTCTTTCCATTGCTCGCTGCGTCGTCCTCAATTTAAGCTGAACCCTCTTTGTAAGTCTCCAGGTTTCTGCTCCGTAGCTAAGTACCGGCAAGATACAGCTGTTATATACCTTCCTCTTGAGGGATAGTGGCAATCTACCTGTCATAATTTGAGAGTGCTTGCCGAATGTGCTCCACCCCATTCTTATTCTTCTAGTTACTTCAATCTCGTGGTTCGGCTCTGCGGTTATTACCTGCCCTAAGTAGACATAGTCTTTTACAACTTCAAGTGCACTATTACCTATCTCGAAGCGCTGCTCCTTGCCGAGGTTGTTGTAGATTACTTTCGTTTTCTGCAAATTAATTTTAAGACCCACCTCTCTGCTCTCCTTGTCTAACTCCGTAATCATGAGTTGCAATTCGTCCCCCGAGTTACTCAGCAATGCAATGTCATCGGCGAAGCGCAGGTTACTAAGGTATTCTCCATTGACTCTTATCCCTAACTGTTCCCATTCTAGGCTTCTGAAAACCTGGTGTAAGGCAGGGGGACACAATTTCCCCAATGCTATTTACCGCGTGCTTACAGGAGGTTTTCAGAAGCCTAGAAAGGCAATAGATATGACCGTGTAATTGTTATAGTATCAAGCATTATTTTAACAAGTGCGTGATCAGTAGATGCTTGAAGTTTTCTTGCTTATGGTATCTTTGACCGGTCAACTCTGCCCTCCGGCTCGGAGGTGAAGGGATCCGGCATTACTCGCAATCTGAGGCGGAGTTCCAAACGCCCGAGCCGAACGTCGAACTCGTTGCCGTGGGAAAACCGGAACACGACGAACCGCGCGCCTGCAGCGAAAATCCGTTTTCTAGTACAAGCCTAGTCGGAGCCAGGCCGAAGCTTCCTTATACACTCTCAAACAAAATGGCCGACGCCCAGATGGAACGAGAAGAAAATGCTCAGCTGGGTGAATTGTCGGTTAGCGGCACTGCTTACGTCATCACCGTCGTGGTATCTTTCGCCGCTAGTCTCCGGGTACGTTGACAATGAAGATGGCTTCCGGTCAGCGCCTAAACAGATTACATCTGACACGCTGACAAAATTTCGCAGATACCAGGTGAAGCGGTCACTCGATTATGACGCCGCTCGCTGGATTCCGTGCCGACCGGTTGTGCCCTCGCGATCTCCGACGACAGCGCAGCTCTGGCCGACTGGGCTCCCCCTACGCCATCTCCTGACGCCGACAAGAGCTCTCGCCAGTGGTGCCCCGTCCTCGGACTCCTGTGACCGTGTTTCCATCTTTCCTATCTTCTCTTTACTTCCGTCGCCGCTCGCTGTCCCTGCGCATTTCTCTCTCTATATATAGACCTTTAATCCTATCCTTTTAATCCCTCATTACCCCCATCCCTCGTGAGCTACTGTTGAGGTATCGCACCAGATGCAGACAGTTACGGGGCTCACTTTTCTCTTCTTTTCCCTTTTGTAACCACAATCAGCCATAACAACCACGCTGCTTGTGATCACGTGACCGAAAGCGATCGCGCCATCCCCTTCGAAAGGGCTCGGAATAGCTCAGAGCGCTCGACGAGAGAGGAGAGCGAATGAAAAGAAGCAGTCGAACGCAATGCCGCTCGCGAAAGCACTCTAGAACGCTCCGCAACGACCAGTCGAAGATGACATCATTCTCGGAATGTGTGGCGTTATGAAGATCTTTCCAAAGGCGAATGGCTTTTGCAAGAGAACAACAGTTAAATAAGTTAGTCTTCCCGTGATTTCGCATGAAATTAGGTTGCTTCTGTTCGTCTACTCAGTGGAAGTAATGATCCAGTCCACTGACCGTTGCTTTTCATGACTTCCCTGTCATTTTTATTGCCGCGCTTCCGCGTTTAAAAGTCGCTATCGGTCACTTTATTTGGTGCCCGGCGGTGAAACTTCACCATCTGCCGACAAGATAAGCTCGTAATATGTGCTTTTTTTTTCCTTTTGTATTAGGTCTGTTTCCACTGGTAGAACCATTCCGAATAGCTGATCATTTTATCAGAGTCTCGTCCTCTTTA